ACCCACCTTTGTGCTGTTAAGATTGATCAGGTTCAATGTGCTGTTTGCATCTTCTAGCCACATGAAGATACTCATCAGTAAAAACAGTAATCTCTGGGTTAAAAACAATTTAAGCCATGCGTGGTGGTGCAGGCCTTTAGTCCCAGCACTTGGGAGGGAAAGACAGGTGATCTCTGTGAACTCAAAACCAGCCTGGTATACATAGTGAGTTCCAGGCCAGCTGGCTACAGGGAGACGCTCTCCCCAAAAGACCCTCCATTCCCCCCCACAAAAAACAATTTAAGGACAAGATGGCTCAATGGGTAAAGGTGCTTACTGCTCAACAACACAAGCCTGACAACCTGTGTTCTATTCCTGGAGCCCATGTAGAGAACTGATTACACAAAGCTGTCTTACAACTTCCACATGTGCCCACTCACACAATAATAACAATTTTGAAGAGACATGTACTCCAATGGACCTTGCCTGCTGATTCGAACCAACTATGAAATAAAAAATTAAAGGCAATCTGAGAAATTTAAATACTGCTGGAATATTTGGTGATATCAGGAAGTAATAGCTGGGCATGGTGGTACACCCCTTTAGTCCTAACACTTCGGAGGCAGAGGCAGGTGAAGAAGCCAGCCTAGCCTACATAGCAAGTATTAGGACAGTCAGAGCTACACAGTGAACCCTAGACTTTAAACAAAAAGAAATAATACACCAGGCACAGTAGCACATGTCCGTAATCCCAACATTCAGGAGGAAGAGGCAGGAGGATGAGGAGTTCAGAGTTAGGCTTTGGCTATATGAAACTCTGTATAAAAAAACACCCCCCTCCCAATACATACGTACAGTAATTTAGTACAGGAAAGAAAATGGTTATGTGCATGTTATAATGAGGGGTTCCTTGGGAGGAGATGGCTTAGTAGGTAAAGTGCATGCTGTGCAAGCATGCATACCTGAATTCGGATTCCCAGCCTCCACATAAAAAGCCAGGCACAGTGGCACATTATCTATAGCCCCAGCACTGCTGGAATAGACAGGTGGGATTCTGGGGACTTGTTGACCAGCCAATCTAGCTAAAATGGTGAGCTCTAGGTTCAATAAGAGACGTTGTCTCAAATAATAATACGAAGATCAATAGAGGAAGAAAACTGATAGCTACCTCTATACACAGGAGCTCAGGAACAAAACACATGTATGTATGTACATGCATACACCTCACACCTTTTTCAGTTTTTTTTTTTTTTTTTTGGTTTTTTTGAGACAAGGTCTCCCTGTAGCCGCAGCTGGCCTGGATTCGCTAATGGAGACCAAGCTGGTCTGGAACTCACAGAGATCTGCCTGCCTCTGCCTCCTGAGTGCTGGGATAAAGGCGTGCACCACCACACCTGGCTGGTTTGTTTTAAAGACAGGGTCTCACTATGTAATGCTGGCTGGCCTGGAACTCATTATATAGACAAGGCTTGCCTCGAATTCACAGAGATCCTCTTGCCTCTGCCTCCAAAGTGCTAATATTAAAGGTGTGCATCACCACACCTGGTCCAGATGAAATTATTTTTAAATTTATTTTTTATGTATATGAGTGTTTTGCCTGCATGTATGTAAGTGCACTGTAGGCATGCAATGCCCACAGAGGCCAGACTGTGTTGGATCCCCTGGAACTGGATTTACAGACGATTGTTAGCTGCCATGTGGGTGCTAGGAACTGAACCCAGGTCCCCTACAAAAGCAGCCATTTCTCTTAACCCTGAGCCATCTCTCTAGCCCCCAGACAAAATATTTTGATCAAGAACATTTTCTTCCCCTCTCAGATTCCTTGGGATTCAGTTAATTATCTTGTTGGGCAGGGCCTTATGAATGCAAAGCACATGCTATACCACTGACATAACCAAATGAAATGGGCATTAAAAAGCAAAATATGGGACTGGAGAGAGGGCTCAGCAGTTAAGAGCACTGGCTGCTCTTACAGAGGAACCAGGTTCGATTTGCAGCACCGAAATTGTAGCTAACAACTGTGCATTAACTCGGGTTCCAGGGGATTCAATGCCCTCTTCTGACCTTTGCAGGCATTGCATGATACAGGTGCACTTACATACACGCAGGCAATACATTCATACACATAAATTTTTTAGAATATAAGTTGCATATGGTGGTGCAATGCTCATAATCTCAGCACTATGGAGGCCAAGGTAGAACTGTCATGTATTTGAAGCCAGCCCAAGACAGAAGAGACCCTGTCTTTAAAAAGAAAAAAGAATATGCATGTGTATGTATGTATGTGTGTATGTATGTGTAGATATAAATCAAATGTGTAATATTCTAAGAGGTTAGCAAAAACTCCAAATGTAAAAACAGACCAAAAATAAAGTCCTTTCAAGGTGAGGTATGTATGTGTGTATGTGTGTGTAGATATAAATCGAATGTGTAATATTCTAAGAGGTTAGCAAAAACTCCAAATGTAAAAACAGACCAAAAATAAAGTCCTTTCAAGGTGAGGTAGCATGAAGAAAATAAAGACTGCAGAGGTGATTAGCCTCACGACTGAGCAACCACTAGGTTCTCAGGCTTCTGGAAGTCAGCCATTGTTAGAATACCCAAGTCCATACTGTCTAAATCAATCTGCTAAATCCTCTTTGATGTGTATTTATTCTCTCAATTCTGGGCCTCTAGTGAACGCTAAGGTTCACCAACACTCCTGTCTTCTTCTCCGGCCTATCCTCACACACTGCAGCATCTCTCTGAATCACAAACTTTATGCG